GCCATGGTTGTAGACGGTCCGCGACCGTACTCACTTGGCGGGCTGCACTCCTGCAGGGCGTGGTCGCTATGGACGAGCGGACTGGCAGGGGCGCTGTTTTCCGAGCCTCTGACCATGCGTCCAGCATCAGCTGTGCGAATACACTCCTGTGAGCGTCCAGCCACGGATTGACAGGTGTACCACATGGCGTCGTCCCGTCGTTTGTTAACAACTGCGATAACAATATCACCCGAGCCTTGTTAAGTGTACTTTCGTGTTCAGGTTGCACTGGTTCTCTCGTCCGGCGTTTTTGTGTTCCCCATGGCATTTGATGAAACGGGTCTGCTGGATGAGACAGTGGAAGGAAGGCTTATGCATGTAAGTTGACGTGAACTACTTCAGTGATTGTGGTGTCTTTGCTTACATTGCACAGAACGCAGTGCGTTCTTCTGTGTTTGAGAGGTGTGCCGCGTGGCGGCAGTGTTCTGTTTTGGTTTGTGTCGACTGATCGTTTTCATTCCGGCTTGATGTCCAGTCTCCATGGATTGACTGGTGCGCGAGGGTGCAGGCGTCCCTTTATTAGAACCGGCATATCTTCTAGGTTCGTGGGTTTGAGACCATGTAGAAGTTGCTGAGTCTTGTGAGTTTGATTGTAGTATAGTCTCTCGTGATAAAGACGGTAGAGTTGCGCTTTGCATAGTTCTCGATTTCTACGATTCTTAGTCTTGCTATTGGTGTCAGTGTCTGTCTTCGATACAGACCTTCACGCTCTCTTCTTGTGTCTGACTGAGCGGCCGCGCCCTCTTCACGGGAGGTAGTGCCACGCCGCCGCGCACCTGCTGGTTTCTTGTATTCTTTACCATAATTACGCGTTTTTCTGTGTGGTACGCAGGTTCATACTAGTAAAGAATCGCGTTCAGTCTGCGAAGGATTCAGTTATGTCTCGAAGAGTGTGTTGGGGCATGCAGATACCCCCAAATTGTTGCGCTCCCTGTACGGTTTTGCAAGGGGTCATCCGCCGTGCTGTATGATTGGTGGATGTACCGTCGTCGACTGTCCTCCGGTGTCGCCTACGGTCGATTCCTGTCAGCACGTCTCAGGGGCGCTTATCTATTGCCTTGTTAGGTCTATTCGGCTTAATTTGTTTGAATTACAGCCGTGTTCCCGGCGTTATTAGTACACCTGACGATACAATATGTCCGTAGCATCGAGGAAAGAGCACAGCGCAGGCTTCAGCTCAATTTTCCTACAAGGACCCCCTAAAACGTTTTTCTTGAGACGCATATCATATTAATGGTTCAATTACAAATGTAGCCCTATAGAGTTTCGTTGCAACCGTATCTTGCAGTGCGCCATGCCAGCGTGCTTCCGTTGATATTCGTATACGAGTCCAACCATCTGCTGTTTTCGTGTAGTAGTATATGCCACTGCGTTTATCCTCAAACCCCACCTCTCTCTCGAGTGTCCGTATGAACTGTGTATAGTCAAGGCTACTAATATCTTTGTATTCTGTTGCTAGGTCGTCGCGCACATACAGCAGTTGGTCCGTTCGTATAAGGATCTGATCCTGTTCGTGTGCACTAGCTACCAGAATGGTTGACAGTTGAGGAGCGTTGTTTACGGTGTTAGACTGTCCGGCACTGTGGACCACAGCCTCAGCATATCCATCATTGTTCCGCAGCCCAGTCTCAGGATTATGGTTACATCGCATTTTGCGTCGCTCGGAGCGCATCCGTCGTGTTGCATTGTGATTACATCGGACTGCTAAGTGCGTGATTGTACGTAGGCGACTGTCGGGCGCCGTACTTTGCAGCGGGCTGTTCTGTCGTGACGCAACCACCCTCGCTATCTGTCTGATGTGCTCTTTTGCAGTCGTCGTTCGCAGAGACTGACATAATATAGCTCGTTCTCTCATCTCTCTCTCAACTTCTGCATATAGTGTCTCGTATTCATCGCTTGTTAAGGTCATCGCGTCGCAGATGCTGTCCCTGGACGAGCGTTCCCGTGTTTGTCGCAGTGGTGTCATAATTGCAAAGATGTAGCGATTTAGGATTCTGTCGTCAACAGTGGAGTACTGTCGTTCGTCTTGGAGAACCGTCGTGGTATAGGTGGTCGTTGTTGCTGCTCGTGTCTTGATGAGTCGTTGTTTGTGGAGATGGGGCGCATGCCGCGCAGCGTCTTCGCAACTCCAGTCTAGCTTATGTAATCATCTAGCTAACGACCCGCGGGGATCTCCTGCTTCGACAGCTCGAGATCCTTGTTAACCAGGCCTTTGTACTCGTCGGATTTGTTGCGCAGCATTACGCCTGCGTCGGCATTGGCGGGCGACGAGACTTCCGCGTCGTTGAGG